CAAATTTCTTATTCCACTCACAATCGAGTGTGTCGAAATCGATTGTAAAGGGGCGCTAAAAAAAAATTAATTAAATATATTTAAAATAAATATTCTCTACAAGGATACCTACCGCTGCAAATAGCAACTTTGAAAGATTGGCTACAAAAATAGTTGTTAATATATATCGAAGGCACACCATTTGTATTAACTAATGATTAATGCTGTAGCAAGGCTTTAGTTTCTCCAACTAACTACCATTAAAGATTTTTTTTAATATTTCAGAATTTTATGGATGATGAAGTCTGCATACAAATAATTAGGGGATAGTAATTTTACGGCATTTGCACCCAAAGTGGGTATTGAAATCAATTTGATATATTTAATATGTAATTAATGGAAATGTTAATGGCTTAATGAAAGCTTTAACGAACTGTTGGCATTAATGGCCGTATGGCCGTGATTGATGACTGTTGGAAAATATACATATAACTTTTTTTTAAACCACCCACGCTTTTGAATTTGAATTTAGTACACATTAGTACGAATTTCTAAAACTACCTACATATTTCAATCTTACACCTCCACAATGATCCTGACTCCAATTTCCATGATCCTAGCTCTATTGGTTCACCTAAAATTCAAATTGTACCAAATTTAGTACCATTTAGTACCCATAAGTATTAATTTGTGAAACTGAATGCTGACCCTAATCCTACAGCCCTACAATGATCCTAACTCCAAATTTCATTGTTCCAGCTCTATCGGTTCACCAAAAAAACAAATTGTACCAATTATAGTACGATTTAGTACTTTTCCAAAACTACGTACATATCCTAATCCTACACTCCGACGGTACTGTTACTTTATATTTTTTAGCATTCCAGCTCCATTTTTACCTTCAAATCAAATTTGTACCAAATATAGTACCATATAGTACTTTTCGTACTCATTAGTACACGTTTTCCAAACCATCTCCTCAAATAGACTCTACATCTCAATCCTAATTCGCATTCCAAATTTCAAGTTTTTAGCTCAATCCATTCACATGCTACGAAATTGTACCAAATTAGTACATTTTAGTACTTCTCACATACTTATAGTTCGAATGCGCAAAAAAAAAACCTTTGCTACATCTATTCTGCACTTCATCAATGACCCTCAATCCAAATTTTAGAGTTCTAGTTCTAATGTTTCGCCAAATACAAATGGTATCACATTTGGTACTTTTCGTACCGTTCTAGTACGAATTTCCAAAAACCCAGCCGTATCTGTCACCTTTGGACCAAAGGTGAATCCGCACCTAAGATTCCAGCTATATATTTTCGTCCGATTTAATGTAAATGCTGCACCAAAGTTCCTATATATCATCCGATTTGCACGAAATTTGGCACAGCGTAATGAAATAGGTATACAATGATGTGTAATAAGTTTCCTGAATATCGGTTCAGATTTAGATATAGCTCCCATATACATTTTCGTCTGATTTCATGTCAATGGTGTACCAAAGTCCCTATATATCATCCGATTTGCACGAAATTTGGCACAGCGTACTGAATTAGGACTAGAATGATGTGTGCTAAGAAATTGGTCCAGATTTAGATATAGCTCCCATATATATATTTTCTTCCGATTTTATGTAAATTGTGCACTTGTGTGTCCGATTGCCACACAATTTTGTACAATGAATTGTAGTTAATCTCTGCCAAGTCTCATTGAAATCGGTTCAGATTTTGATATAGCTTCTACATATATATTTTCGTCCGATTTAACGCCATATTGACACACATTTTGCACAACGTACTGAAGTTAGTATAACCTAGAGGTAGGATATAAATGCTTCAACAAGGTGGGTCCAATCGGCACAAAATATTGCTCTACGTACTGAAGTGACTATAACATAAGAAGCAACCCTGTATCTGACCAAATGAAAAATTTAGTATTTTTTTCATGTTAATGGTCCTTTAAAAATTCGACGTCTGTTGGGATTTATCTGTTGAATATGCCAAAGTGGTGAAGGATATCACATAGTCGGCGCTGTCCGACTTTACTACTTTCCTTACTGGTTTATTTGTATAGATTATATACCATACACGCACACATAAACGTATTCCCACACTCCATTACCAAAAAATTTGCTTCTAATTATTATGGCTTTTTAGACGTTTGATTTCCCATCCTTTTGCCGATTTTCGATTCAACATGGGCACTCAGTTTAAGATCAAAAACCAATTCCCGATAATTTAACATAATAAAGGAGGTTTCAAATTTTATATTCGACATATAGACTGGAAACCGTTCTTCGTCCAAATACAAATTTAACAAAGGATATTCAACTCCCTGCAATAACAAAAAAAAAAAGCTTGTAACTCAGAAGAAAAAATAATTGTTTATATGGAAATTACCTTATTTAAAGGACATTTGCTGGGCAGCCCTGGCATTGATTGTTTTATCCTTTGGATCACTGCCTCCGTTATTACATTCAGTTTATTGTATTTATTGATCAAAATATCACAACCATTTACCGTGACATTGTAAATTTTCCAATTCCAATTCAAAATTCGTATGCCATTAACGTCCGTGCGAAATAACATTGTGCCATTGATGGCCTGATGATTTTTATACGGTATCAATTTGAAATCAAGGTTTTTAACGATTTTGTTATTAACCTCATAGTCGAGGGTGTCGAAATCAATTGTAAAAGGGCGCTGTAAAATATATAATAAAAAATAAAATATATATTAACGACAAAGTATTAAAATATATGTTATTAATTTTTTTATTTGAAGAATACCAACCGCTGCATAAATAATTTTTAAAAAAGTAACCGCAAAAATTATTGCCAATATATTCCGCAGGCAAACCATTTCGACAATCTAATGAGAAATAATAATGAAAATTTTTTCGATTTTCCTCAAAAGATTTATAATTGAATTTTTTAATTTTTTATTTTTTAATATAACTGAGGGGCCATTAAAAATAAATCAGTGGACTGCAAATTAGCGGCATATTAGTAAAATTTAACAAGGAAAAACAAATAATTATAATTTTGGGTAATTTTTGGCTCATAACAATTTTAAAAAGTCCATGAGAAATATAAAATATTTTTAAAATATCACCTGCTGATGTAACTGTTGAAATAAAAAAATTTAAAAAATGTAGGTCATGAAAAAAATATTTTTTTAAAAAATTCACGTTGTAATGAAAAAATATTTTTAAACCAGTGAGCGGAGCAGTATAGTTCGACGGGGCTGACCATATGATACCCTACACAACCACCACGGAACTCTAACTTTCTGTGGATTTTTATTCCGGGTCTAGGACATATATAGTGATAGTTGCATCCTCTTGCCCGATTAGAGGTCATTAATATTATTAATATTCAGTATAGTTATTTTAATTATATGTCCATATTCCCTTCACCGTGGGTTGTGTTGTTATCTTGTGATCTACTCGAAAAAAAAACACAATAAATGAAAAATATGTCGGTCCACTTCATCCCAATATTATTATCTGATCATCATCGAAAATTATAGGCGTTGACCATACCTGGATTCTCATGGAAAATTTCAGAGCGATCAGCACAAAAAAAATATAATGTTTTTGGTCCATTTCATTGCCTAAATATTAACTGATCTTTACCAAAAACAATAGGGGTCTTCATTGGCCAGGGCCAGTCCTACATGCAAAATTTCTTGAAGATTGGTGCATAACTGTGGCCTGTATCGCTTTTACAAATTATAATGGACAGACACAGACACACACATGTCTAGATCGACTCAGCTAGTCGAGATATTGTGATCGGTATACTTAAAGGTGGGTCTAGGACCAATATTTCGCGGCGTTACAGATTCTTGGGGCTGCACAAAGCTATAATACCCTGACAACATAGTTGTGTAGGGTATAAAAATCACCAGCTAATGTAACTGTTGAAAAAATTATATTTGAAAAAATATAGGCCATGAAAAAACATGTTCAAACCAGTGAGTGGAGCAGTATAATCAGACGCGGCCTACCATACTATACCCTACACAACTACAACGGAACTCTAACTTTTTACGGATGTTTTTTCCGAGCCTGGGCAATATATCGTTATACCTGCACCCACTTGCTCGATTAGAGGTCAACAGCACCACTTCCTTACACTTCCGAATATTACTAATATTCAGTACAGTCCTTCTAATTACTTGTTCATATTCCCTTCACCGTGGGTTGTGTTGTGATGTTCGGCTTATAATTGCGACCTATAGATCGACTCGAAAAAAACACCAAAAATTAAGTTTTTTGTCCAATTCATCCCAATATTATTACCTGATCATCACCGAAAATGATAGGCGTTATCCTTGACCTAACTGGAACATCATGGAAAATTTCAAAGGGACCAGCACTATATTTCCGCCCTTTATTGTGGTAATGGGTTACTAACTAGCATATGAATACGTAAACATTTGTGAATATTTAAGTGCAACTCCCACATCCGAGAACATACGACAATTTAATTGGTATCAATTTAAAGGTCAACTACACCTCTTGGATATACTTTCAACTTCTCGGGTCTATGTCCTTCAGGGGCAAATATATACACCTTATAATGCAGATTTTGTAATTTTTCACACAAACGTCAGGGTCCATTTGACCCGCTAAATATTGACCGATCGTTATCAAAACATGCATGCTTATATTTTGGCCCGATCCCCTTCTCCATGTAAAAATTCGCGATGTTTGGGCCATAATTGCGGCATCTGAAGCGAACTGAAAATCACACAAAAATATTAACCGATCTTTACCAAAAACAATATATAATTTGTAAACACGATACAGACCACAGTTATGGACCAATCTTCATGAAATTTTGCATGTAGGAAAAGTTTTTTCCAATGAAGACCCCTATTGCTTTTGGTAAAGATCGGTTAATATTTAGGTTGCTCTAGAGGCCGCAAATATGACCCGAACATCGCGAAATTTTACATGAAGAAGAGGATTGGGCCAGAGAATATGCATGCATGCTTTGATAAAGATCGGTCATTATTTAGCATTTCAAATGGACCCAACAATAAGCATGTCTGTTGAACCGACAAATGAAGGTTCTGTTTAACAATTTACTACTTTCGAATGTTTTTCCATAAAAAAACACCCAACTAATTTATTTTCACACTATCCAAATAAGGTTCACAGCTGTCACTGTCAAATTAGTAAATATTTCTCTGTCACATTCAGTCATTTAGGCAATAATGTTTCAATTCTTAATTGTAAAACAAAAAGAAAAAATTACAAAACATTGTTTTTTTTTCATTTTGGCAGTTTTGTTTTCACAACAAAATTACGCTACCATTTATTAGATCAATTGCAATTAAATTTCCATTAAAATCTCAACAATACAGTATTTGCAAACTACAAATTGCAAAAAAAAACTCAGCAATGCATTCAATTTTTTTTTCTGCTAATGAATAAAAATTATATTCACAGTATTATCTGAAAATAGAAAACGTGCTTTTTAAATGAAGATAAATTAGTCAAGTTATATATTTATTTAATATGTATTAACACGATTGTTAAATAATAATAATAATAATAATGACAGTATGGTCAATATGCATATATCAGCTGGGGCACAGATGCAAAAAAACAAAAGCTTGGACCATGTAATCGGTGACTGAGAGTTCTATAATTACAGATGATTTATTAGAGTTGTTGTTGTTGTTTTATTCTTTCTCCAAAAATGTTTAGGTATGTGTGTTAGGTGCTAGATTACACCTGTAGCTGTCTAACTGCCAGCAGTCTCTGGTGTTGAGATATTTCTGTCCATCCATCCATCACGAATGAAATGCAAATGGAATGCGTGCGAATATTTCGGTCTATTAACAACTTCATTTCTACAAGGATAACAACATTGTTGTTGTTGTTTTTGCTTTGGCATGATATTTGCTAATATAATATTTAGATCAACATATGTAGATCAATGAAATTTAATGACAGCTAGTCGATCTAGACATGCGTGTCCGTCCGTCTGTCCATCATAATTTGTAAACACGATAAAGGCCACAGTTATGGCCCAATTTTCATGAAATTTTGCATGTAGGATGGGTTCGGCCAAATGAAGACCCCTATTGTTTTTGGTAAAGATCAGTTAATATTTATACCCTACACAACTATGTAGTCAGGGTATTATAGCTTTGTGCAGCCCCAAGAGTTTGTATCGCCGCGAAATATTGGTCCTAGACCCACCTTTAAGTATACCGATCGTCATGTCTCGACTAGCTGTGTCGGTCTAGACATGTGTGTCCGTCCGTCTGTCCATTATAATTTGTAAACACGATACAGGCCACAGTTATGGACCAATCTTCACGAAATTTTACATGTGGGATGGGTTCTGGCCAATGAAGACCCCTATTGTTTTTGGAAAAGATCGGTTAATATTTAGGGGATGAAATGGACCAAAAACTTTATTTTTGTCTGATTTTCTGGTCGCTTTAGAGTCCGCAATTATGACCCAAAGGAGATTGGGCCACAGAATAAGCATGCCTATTTTGATAAGGATCGGTCAATATTTAGCGGGTCAAATGGACCCTGACTTTTGTGTAAAAAATTACAAAATTTGTATTCTATAGCGTATATGTTTACCCCTGAAGGACATAGACCCGAAAAGTTGTTGGTATATTTAAGGGCAGTGGTTGACCTTTAAATTGATACCAATTATACGGTTGTATGTACTCAGATGTGGCAGTTACACTTAAACATTTACAGGTGCTTGTGTATTCGGATATTATTTAGTAACCCTTTACCACACTAGAGGGCGGAAATATAGCGCTGATCGCTTTGAAAATTTCCATGAGATTCCAGTTATGGTCAAGGATAACGCCTAAAATTTTCGGTGGCAATCAGATAATTGAATTGTGATGAGTGAACCGAAATTTAATTTTTTGTATTTTTTTCGAGTCGATCTATAGGCTCCAATGGGAATAAGAATATCACAACACAAAGGAAGGGAATGTGGACAAGTAATTGGAAGGACTGTACTGAACATTAGTAATACTTGTCGGCCTCTATTTGGTCCACATGGTTCAAAAATCGCCAAATATTGCCCAACTCAGAATATAGATCCATAGAAAGTTAGTTTTTCGTGGAAGTTGTGTAGGGTATCATATGGTCGACCCCGTCCGACTATACTGCTCCGCTCACTGGTTTAAAAAAGTTTTTCTTGGGACGAACCATAATAGTGGCTTTTTTAACATTTTTTAACAAGGGTCATAGACTGATGTGGATTTTTATACCCTACACAACTATGTTGTCAGGGTATTATAGCTTTGTGCAGCCCCAAGACTATACCGATCGTCATATCCCGACTAGCTGTGTCGATCTAGACATATGTATCCGTCCGTCTATCCATTATAACTTGTAAAAACGATACAGGCCACAGTTATGGCCTATTTTTCACGAAATTTTGTATGTAGGATGGGTTCGGCCCAATGAAGACCCCTATTGTTTTTGGTAAAGATCGGTTAATATTTAGTTAATCTCCTAACTACATATACTTATTTTTTTCTGATTTTCTGGTCGCTCCAGAGGCCGCAATTATGGCCCAAACATGTCGAATTTTTTACAAGGAGAAGAGGGCGGAAATATTGCGCTGATCGTTTTGAAATGTTTCATGAGGTTCCGGGTATAGTCAAGGACTACGCCTATAATTTTCGGTGATGATCAGATAATA